TTCTGTGCCACCCTGTATATCGGAAACGACGCCTTTTCTTTTTTTCCCAGCCTATTTTTATATTTGTCCTCGGTAAACTACCATCTTCTAAATTTAATTTTGCAATTCAATTTATTTGATTATTTGTATTCCTTATAGTCTAGGCGATAAAGACATCTAACTGGACATTTTGAGGTGGAAAAGAAAAAAATGGTGGAATATGTTCAGTTAGGTGTCAGAAACAACATATTAAAAATCCCACCCCCCAGACCCTGTGCTAAAGACTCCAGCCACCCCACCATCCCCCAAAAACCGTGTTTTCGCTCTTTTTGGCTGATATCTCGCGATCTATGAGGTCTATATGAAATATTTTTAGCTGAAAATATTTCTCGGGAAATTTCATACAAGGTAGATATGCAGAAGTTAGCCTAAGTGTACCTCTTAGACTAGGAAATTCATAAAAGCGGCGAAAATCATCAATTTTCGTGGCTTTTTGCAAATATATCGCGACCTTTAGGGCTAGATGAAATATTTTTAGCTGAAAATGCTCCTCGTGAAATTTCTTACAAGGTAGATACTCAGAAGTTAGCCTAGGTGTACCTCTTAGCCTAGGAAATTCATAAAAGGAGGCGAAAATCATCAATTTTCGTGTTTTTTGGGGGTTTTTTGGAAATATATCGCGACCTTTAGGGCTAGATGATATATGTTTAGCTGAAAATGCTCTTCGTGCAATTTCATACGAGAATATTCATTGTAAAACAAAGTATTTCTATGTACCATTAATTCACGTAAAAACAGTATTTTCATATTAAAATATTCACACATTCATTTATACCTCAACGTAATCATTATCCTCTGCAGATTCCACTTCTTCAGGCTCTTCGACGTCCTCTAGTGCTAGTGGGTCGTCTGAAATTACCGACTCGTAGTTCTCCTCGCCTTCCGCTTTACCTGCATGGGCACCCTGAAACGACGACGTCCCATTTAGGCACGATGATCCATGACACTGGACGCAGAATTCGTTCTTCAGACCTACAACAAGAAGTATTATGTCAAAAAAATTTTATAATTAAGTATACGAATATAATATTCTCTCGTGTGTCCTAAGTGTCGGGTAGAGAAGGTTTACCTGATTTTCTGAAACAGTTGCAGGAAATCAGGTAAACCTTCTCTACCGGACACATAGGACACACGAGAGAATATTATAATCGTATACATAATTATAAACATTTTTTTGACATAATGCTTCTTGCTGTAGGTCTGAAGTGTAATGAACTCTGCGTCCAGTGTCATGGAGCATCGTGCCTAAATGCCACGTCGTCTCTTCAGGGTACCCATGCATCAGGTAAAGCGGAAGACGAGAACTACGAGTCGGTAATCTCAGACGACCCATTACCACTAGAGGACGTCGAAGAGCCTGAAGAAGTGGAATCTGCATCTAGTCTATAACTTTTGATTGAGAAGTCTGATCGAAAAAGTACGAATTGATTTGGATTCTACGCACCCAAATTAATAAGAAAAAGTGTTTTCCCGAGAAATTTTGGTGTAGTCGATTTTTGGTAAAAAAGGAAGGTTATACACTGCCTTTTTTTGAGCCCCGAAAAAAAAATTGTCTCAGATCGACCCGGAAAAAAAATTTTCTTATAGAATGTGGCCTGTAGAATCCATAATTTCAAACAGTTCCAAGATTGGGCTACTAGTTCAAAAGTTACAGCCCTTTTGAATTTTTTTTCGAAATTGGTTTCTAGTCTATAACTTTTGATTGAGAAGTCTGATCGAAAAAGTACGAATTGTTTTGGATTCTACGCACCAAAATTAATAAGAAAAAGTGTTTTCCCGAGAAATTTTGGTGTAGTCGATTTTTGGTAAAAAAGGAAGGTTATACACTGCCTTTTTTTGAGCCCCGAAAAAAAAATTGTCTCAGATCGACCCGGAAAAAAAATTTTCTTATAGAATGTGGCCTGTAGAATCCATAATTTCAAACAGTTCCAAGATTGGGCTACTAGTTCAAAAGTTACAGCCCTTTGAATTTTTTTTCAAATTGGTTTCTAGTCTATAACTTTTGATTAAGAAGTCTGATCGAAAAAGTACGAATTGATTTGGATAAGTATAAGGGTAATGATTACGTTGAGGTATAAATGAATGTGTGAATATTTTAATATGAAAATACTGTTTTTACGTGAATAAATGGTACATAGAAATACTTTGTTTTACAATGAATATTTCCTCACACATGAAAGTTGAAGGTGAAAGGTGACTTTACGCCAAATCTTCAGTTACCTATCTCGTATGAAATTGCACGAAGAGCATTTTCAGCTAAACATATTTCATCTAGCCCTGACGGTCGCGATATTTTTGCAAAAAAACCGCAAAAAAAACACGAAAATGATGATTTTCGCCTCCTTTTATGAATTTTCTAGGCTAAGAGGTGCACCTAGGCTTACTTCTGAGTATCTACCTTGTAAAAAATTTCACGAGGAGCATTTTCAGCTAAAAATATTTCATCTAGCCCTAAAGGTCGCGATATATTTGCAAAAAGCCACGACAATTGATGATTTTCGCCGCTTTTATGAATTTCCTAGGCTAGAGGTACACCTAGGCTAACTTCTGAGTATCTACCTTGTAACAAATTTCACGAGGAGCATTTTCAGCTAAAAATATTTCATCTAGCCCTAAAGGTCGCGATATATTTGAAAAAGCCACGAAAATTGATGATTTTCGCCGCTTTTATGAATTTCCTAGGCTAAGAGGTACACCTTGGCTAACTTCTGAGTATCTACCTTTTTATGAAATATTTTCAGCTAAAAATATTTCATATAGACCTCATAGATCGCGGAATATCAGCCAAAAAGAGCGAAAACACGGTTTTTGGGGGATGATGGGGTGGCTGGAGTCTTTAGCACAGGGTCTGGAGGGTGGGATTTTTAATATGTTGTTTTTGACACGTAACTGAACATATTCCACCATTTTTTTCTTTTCCACCTCAAAATGTCCAGTTTGCCAATATTACAGTCTCTATCGCCTAGACTATTACTTGATCCTCACTCTGAGAAGCAACACATATCTTGTAGCGACTTTTAAAAACACAACGTAGTAAGTGGTCCTAGTATCCTGTTTTTCAGGTTAGGTAGCTTTGTCTAGACGATCATGTGCCATGGAGTTCAGTTAGTTTGCGAGTGCGTAGTCTCTCGTGGCTGGTCTGGGTACGTCACATTATGTTACTATACTAAGTTTCAGTAGGTTAGATAGCACACGGAAACTTTTATTTGGAAATTTATGTCGTATTTTTATGTAAAGTATTGTTAAAGAATTCCATTAGTGTCAATCCGCGTAATACTGAACTTTTGTATTCCACGACGTAAATGTCTGCGTTAGATCATTATTTGTAGTCCCAAAATCTCCATTACAATGTTACATGGCCATTAAGGGGGATGATTACGGCTGCCAGCTAAATTGCGTAAATCTTTCGAAAATTGAGCTAGCAGAGATAATGATAAAATTTTTAAGTTGTTTCAATTGCGTTTATAATACCCTTAAATTTATCTGACAGTTAAATTTCATGGTAACCTATGAGTTTAACTGCATGACACCGGTCCTAAATGGTCTAGTGAAAAATTGCATGATAGATAGGTAGTGGCTTGCCTACGTTGTATGGAGAGAAACTTTAGTTACTAAATAAATGCCTGCTTGTTATGTTAACAAGTTGCCTATTTTAAGACACAGGAGTATCTATAAGTAATATACTACACACCTAGGTAGGTAGGTACATATTTAAAAGGATACAATAGATGTAGGTAATAATATGGCGCACTCTACACTAAGAGGAAAAAAGAAGACTAATCTCGATTGATTTATTTGTATAAAAAGCAAATTCTATTACTCTAGCTGGCTGGCGAGAAATACAAAATTTCATTTAGGTAAAAGCTCTCGATTTTTCTGGTGTTAAAAAGATCCATTCAATATGCACGCTCGCATGTTCCCTGCATTAATTTTTTTCACGACTATAGCATATCGCAGCGACGCGCGATCAAATAAAAATAAACCACGTACTGTTTTCGCAGTTTATATACCGAACAGATTACGAAAATTACATTTGTTGAGGTTACGTTTTGAGTCAAATATTAGATCGGATATTTCAATCCAGGCAGCAATAAAAATTCGATTGGCTCCATAGAATAAAAAAGTAGATAGAATTTTATTTTCTACATGATTTCCTTTTTTCGTATCCTCTTAGGGCTCCTTTGTATTATAATACCCACTTCAAACCCGCAATTGTTTCAGGCTAAATTTCGATTTACCTCCATTGGCGAACTTTTGCGAGCATTTGTCAGACAAACAATTAATAATCTGCTGGTCAAATGTTAAAATGAAAAGGGGCAGATAAAGGGATTATCTGCGCGTAGTTTTTCGTAACGGATACAAAAGCGCGTGGAAAAGAAAGTTTATTATGATCGTAAAAGGAAAAAGAAAAACTAATATTGTCGAAATGTGCAAAAAATTATAGTTATGTGCAATACGGTTGCGTAAGAATTTTTCTAATAAAGTTCTGGAATTTGTCCAATTTCCCGTATCCTCCTCATTCGCTTTTTCCCTTCAAGGTATTTTTAGAACTCGACATTTTCCTCGCAATAAGTTATAATTTAGTTGAGGAATATTATTGCTGTAAATACACGACATTTATTACCGCGTATGAAAGTGGAATTTTAGGTTTATCCATCGTCGAGAGCGTTATTACTTGCTACCTTTTTGGTTTCATCTCATTGCCAGGTACACTGTACTTACCTCAAAGCACTAAAAGTAATGAGATTCTCGAAATTGCTGTCTTTTCGCGTTTAACGATAATTTTTGGGTCATTTTACTTGTGAATATACGAAATAAAGTGGAAGGTAAATGTGCTGTTGGCAAACAGGGTTCGTTTTTTTACATGACCGAACTTACGGTGCCGTGCTCGCTCGTTTAAAACGCGAAAAGGTTACCTACATTATTCAGGGCGAAAGTTTTTTTGGGGTTACGTTTCTTACCTGCTTTCACTTGTACTTCTTTGCTGAGTACACTTCCAAGTGTGCTGCGTAATCTACATCTATACAAGGCCGCATGAATATGTTGACGATATAATTCGTTGGGAAAAGGTGGAAAAACTAAAGTTCCATTGGGATATAACAGTCTTAATTCCGGAACCTGGAAAGAAAATTCAATTAGACTCGCTAAAGTAAAACCAATTAGCAGATAAGAGTTTTCAGGAATTTTGTAAAAGTATTAAAGCAGATAAAGCAGTCTATGGTATTTAAGTACAACCTCGTTGCAATGCGCTTCTAATGGTTTATATACGTAAATTCTTCAAGTACTTTTACACTACATACTTAGCAGATGGGTGATTATTTAATTTTAATATTCGTTAATTGTTACTTGTTTATATTAAGTACTTAAACATGCAGATAAAATTCATATAAAGTAATTGTAGAGAGGCACAGCATTTATTTTTTAGCACTGTTCCCCAAGAGATCGCATCTATTTAGTAGGGAACTACACTTTCTCTCTGTATTAATAAATTTAAAACACAGTTTTGACCCTTCTCTCTCAATACCGCCGCATTATACCTTTAGGCCAGGAAAAGAAGACCGAACAATCCCTTAATTCGGAAATAGCTTGTGCTCAACGGATTATTGTTTTCAGTTGTAGGGTGGACTCTTAAGAAATAACATACCAAAAGTCCCCAGGTGTGAACCTTTTGTGTTAGGCGCGAGGGAGTGTGGATTTTTAGGTTTTTCGTCATTATATATTTCGAAAACTAACCGCGCTGTCGAAAAGGTCAATCTACACAAAATACAAGCAAATTACATTGTCCACAGCAAAGGTTCTATTCATTTTCACGCCAGGAACAATAGTTACGGGTGTATGATACCTTTTAATTGCGGAAAGTACGATAAACTATACCAAAAATCATGTTTTTGTCGTTGTAATTAGTTCACTCCCCATGCTTGGGTATGTATGTGGGGAGAGGGGGGGTCCATTCGGGGCCATTTGCTAACAAAAGTTAATGTTTTTGTTCCGGCGGCATGCGTTAACTGTTACAGTAGAATTTTTAGCGCATTTCCACAAAAATTTAAAAAAATCCGCTACTGTGGCCCCTTTGTCCGTCCGTCTGTCTATCCATCCGCCAGTCCGTGCGTTCGGTCGCCACTACATCTTTATCTTAAGAGCTATCGTTCTACTTTTTTCGCTATTTGGTTCGTTATGCTATTGAGGCTCGCACCAAGGAAGGAATTTTTTCTGCGTTTATTACTAAAAAGGTTATAGTAAAAAATCTATTTTTTCATGTACTTGCCATAATTTTACACTTTTGCCGTTTATTAACGATCCCCGAGATATACTACTCTGTCAAAAAAGTAGCGAGGATTGGTCAATGAAACGCAAAATAGGTACGTATTATCCATCTAAACTTATTGTATCGTCTCAAAGTAGGCCCCTTCCGGAATAATACAATTACGCTAGCGAACTAAGCCAATCATCAAACCATCTTTTTGAAATCGACTTCAGTACTCTTTTATGTTAATCTATCGACTGAAAACGGATGCCTCGAAGTGGTAATTTCCGTTTTGAAAAACAAACGTAAACCCATGTCTCATTACCGGTTACAATGCATTTTATGTACGTTGACTCGTTCTTACCTATATGTCTTTAGCGACCTTTACGCGATTGAGCTTTTGCAGAAAATTAAGGTCTTTTGACACTACTCAAGTGGCAACGCGCTTCATGCCCAAACAATCGTTTAAAATGTCCGAACTGATCCTTCAGACGTAGAAATTTCAAAGGCTGTCTCTTCCAGAGTTAAACAACGACTTTCAGTCATTTCCTTTGCTTTAGCTATGTTAAATTCAGTTGATAGCCGACCAGAACGACGCAAATCTTCCACCACATCTCGACCGATATTTGCAATACGATTACAAAGGCGATTGCCATAGAACTCTTCCTCGCTACCCCAGCGTTATAAATTTATATGGGCTCTGTTCCACTAACCCAATGCGTCCGTTGAAGGCTGTGACCCATCCAAATCCTAAATGGGCGATTATTGACCGTTAGAACAACGTGCTAACTAATCATGGCACTTAATACCCCCCCACCCCTCACACACACTCCCAATAAAGGGGGAAGTGATCAATTGACATAAACTTTCAAGGGCAGTAACATGTTTTTAGCGCATTTTCAAACTCATGTTGGAAGGCGCTACTATGGTCACTTCGTCCGTCCGTCCGTCCGAGACTTGGTCCGAGGCCTACTACCGTTTTCAAGATATTCAGTTCGTTCTTTTTGCATTCGATAGCTTATTATAGCTCCGCCACCACAACCAAGAGAAATCTTGACGATAAATGTGTTTCTTTTATTTATGGAGATATTTTTTTGAAATTTGAACCACAGTAGATGCTTCTAGTAAAGAGTCGCATATTGTAAAAAGCATATTTTAAACATCAGGTGTGTCACAATTTGTTAATATCTACATTTTACTTTAAATACTATTTGCTTATTGAAGCATGCCGTGCTCCAACCTTTTGTTTTATATGTACCGTTACTAAATTATGTTTAGTTGTTATACTGTACAAGTGATTCTGCCTTTATTTCGTTTTAATAAGTTTTTATCTATTTATTCACGTGGTTAATTATCAGTGTAATGTTGCCCTGTATGTGTTCGACTAACCGCTTAGTCCGTGGAGGAACTACCTCGTACAGTTCTGATTCTTCGCTGTATCATGTTGCTTCCTCATCTCGTGGAGACTGCAGCTCTTGTGTCTTAGCAATACGAGAAGAGATGCCCTCTAAATAATTTTTTTTGGTTTAATACATGGATCTATTTGTGAATGAGCGACTTTAACATTGAATACTGTTGACGTTTTCACACATACTTTTTTTGTATGTCCAATTTATCATTTTACGAACTGTTTTGTTTGGCATACATTGAACCGTACATGTGTTTTCGCACTAAACTGATTTACATATCTGCTTACGACTTGCATTTGATTTTATTGTACGATTTGAAATTTTTGATTTGCGTATTTTTTCTATTGCATTTTGTTGCCGCAGTTGACTTATTTCTTGCATTTGTGTGTTGGTGAAATGCCCATAAATAATTCTGTAAATACGATTATTTTACACTGCCCCACCATGGAGTACATTTCGAAATTGACACACTCCGCTTCATTTATTTTTATTTTTCATAATCTATTTATAAAATAGTCATACAGTAAACTATTTTAACGAATAATAATTCTCTAATTACTATTGACTGATTTCCATGAATTTTTAAATTCAAGTACTAATGGAAACAGTAATTTTTCTGCCAGTTCTATATTGCACACTGTGTTAATAGCTGCTTTAATGCATATTATTTCCGCATGCCGCTTCGTCGTTTGAGATGAAAATTACAGCACCGTCCGAAGAACATGAGAATAACGGTATTACAGCAGTAATTAAACTACTGACAGTATAAATGACATAAAGATATTTGGAGATACTATACGCGAATTAATTTTCAAACTTGTAACTCAAATTAATAGATGGCCGAATATTAAAAATCGATTATAATTGATAGTACTGCGTGATAATAGAACGGAATTGAATTTCAAAATTTTATGATAATTGAATATTAAAGATAAATAATGGAGGGATGAATTGCGCTTCTGTATTTTGCATTGTACCTACTACTAAATTAATAATTCTCAAATATACATATTTCATGAGAATAATCAATAGATAGATATTAGGACACCATTGAGCAAATTTCCATAACAACGTGGTATTCGTCATTAACTATAATCAACTGAACTACGGTACCTATCATGTCTAAGCTTTCTGCATTACAAAGCGCATACCTATAACCCATTGTTACTTTATTGTCGTTAGGTACAAATCTGCAGATTTTTTGCTCTTCATATATAATGAAGGTCGTCATAAATTATTATTTATTAATAATTGCGGTGAATCACGTTAATACAAAATGTATTAAAAAGTAAATCACCACAAAGTTATGCGTTCCATTCCTAGTAGGCATCCATTATTCGCCATCTAAGTTTTCGTATAATGCGTATCGCATAAATTGTTGAAGTTTAACGTATAAAGTGAAGTACTTAAAATATTTTGTTATAGCATCGCGGAATTTCGAACAGCCGTAAGAGGCAATAACTTTCCAACTTTCATAAGCATGGCGTGGTATTGTGTGTGCAATAAAAGGACGAGAACTTGTGTTTATAATTTACCCTAAGTACCTATCAGTTGTTAAGAGGGCAACTTTAGGGAAATGATTAGTGTTCTCTAACATCGCAGCGTAGGTGAAGTACTATTTATTGCGCTATGATGCAAAGCATCAAGCTTCCGTCTAGTGCTTTTATTAGGTATATTTTATCAGGTATTACGTACTCTTCTCTAAAAATTACTTTATGTCCGATTGTATAATAATCAATACTTTATGATATCTTTTTGCGGCCATAAAGTGGCTCTTTATGGACGGCGGCCATAAACAAATGTCACGTGGTCGGTTGTCAAAATAATTTATTTATACATAACAAAATAAATATAAATGCAAAACACCTGAAGAAACACCTACTTCGGGGAGTGCTTATTCGAGTAGTAATTGTTAATATTAATCACGCAATCCACATTGTTCTTTATAAAGAGTTGTCCACTCATTTGATGTCTTTCTTCGACTTCTTTATGATGAGATGAAGGACCCGCTCCACCTAGGATTTTCGTCGCAACGTTGACTTTTGTCATTTCCGACTCTTCGACGTAGCCTTCCGCGACACTAGCTGAGCGCCATCCTCCATGGCGCATGATGTCAGTCATACTTCCACCTGCATTTGCCAGAAGACTTGCAGAAGTTCTTCGAAAAGAATGGCCCGTGTAGGAAGAAGCATTTGTTAAATTCAAGAATTTGGCCACCACACTGGGAACACCACCAACTTTGTGAACCGTGCACTTTCCATTTCGATAATTGATAAAAAATCTGTTGTGTGACGTTACTTTAGGACGAATGGCTATGTATTTTCTAATTATGTGCAGTAAATTGTGTTTTCCTGGTAATATGACAAAAGATTTTTTTTTTTTTTTGGTTTTCGTATCGATGATCTTGACTAGAAAATGTTTTTCCTGATCTTCAACATTTGTCGTCTGCAAAAAAACCAATTCCT